ATTTTTAAAAAGCCCATAACTTGAGTACTTTTTCAGATAGATAAATGAAATTTCACATGTAAGTAAAAGATCTAATTTTCTACCTTCTTTCAAATTTTGAGTAATTTTTGTTGACCGGAAGTAGTAATTTACGCTATTTCAGATTTCTCAAAAAACGCAAGTAAATTTATAAAGTACTAACAATATTGCGCACTATTATGCACATTTTGTTTTGGCGTTCCCTTGGTGCGCAATTCTTTTTTCTACGAGATTCTATTCTATTTTTAAAAGTTTAAGTAATTAAAAATCATGTCTGTATTCCGAGTTATATAAGAATATTCGAGAAAGTTTAGGGAAGATCACTCCCGGTTTATGGTAACCTGTTTGTGGTTGTTTGTCTAATGTGTTGCGCTACGCATCGGATCACCCGTAAGAGATCCACTAATCGGCAGAGTTCAAAAGATGAATACATTCAATATTATTGGGTTGTAGTGGGGAGTGTGAAGAGAAATATTTTGCTACATAAAAGGGGGTGGTCGGGTCGGTTAAGCTCATGATTGCTGAACCGATAAGTCCCGAGCTCGACCCCCCCCCCCCCCCCGCCCCGGATACATGAGGCTCGATAGATGGGGACATCAACTCATCTAGGTGAGACAACTACAAAATCAAACTACTGCCTTGTAGTTTGTTCTAGGCTGGAAGCGAACCCTAAAGACGAGCATTATGAAATCGCCTGTATGGCGCATAACAAGTTGACAAGAAATACTTAAATGTATTGGAGGGAATCTCTTTCAATATTAAGAATTTATAACGAAGAAGAAAAAGCTAAATAAAGAAAATAATATTTAAACAACTTCTAATTGCTATGTTTAGTTTTCGGTCGTTGTGTTAGGATTTGTGAACGTATTAAATACTATAAAGATGACATTTATACGCACCCACTATCGTTTAATTAAGTTCTATAACATTTCTTATAACAATACTTATTGTTCATTAAACCCTACAACTCTTATTGTACATTAAACCCCACAGTTTTTACTGTTTTTTAAACCTCACACTTTTTACTGATCCTTAAACCACACACTTCTTAATGTTCCTTAAACCCCACACTTCTTAATGTTTCTTAAACCACACACTTTTTACTGTTCCTTAACCCCCACACTTCTTAATGTTCCTTAAACCACACACTTCATTACTGTTCCTTAAATCCCACAATTTTAATGTTCCTTAGTCCCCACACTTCTTAATGTTCCTTAAACCACACACTTCATTACTGTTCCTTAAATCCCACAATTTTAATGTTCCTTAAACCCCACACTTCTTAATGTTCCTTAAACCACACACTTCATTACTGTTCCTTAAATCCCACAATTTTAATGTTCCTTAAACCCCACACTTCTTAATGTTCTTTAAACCCCACACTTCATTACTGTTCCTTAAATCCCACAATTTTAATGTTCCTTAACCCCCACACTTCTTAATGTTCCTTAAACCACACACTTCATTACTGTTCCTTAAATCCCACAATTTTAATGTTCCTTAAACCCCACACTTCTTAATGTTCCTTAAACCACACACTTCATTACTGTTCCTTAAATCCCACAATTTTAATGTTCCTTAAACCCCACACTTCTTAATGTTCTTTAAACCCCACACTTCATTACTGTTCCTTAAATCCCACAATTTTAATGTTCCTTAAACCCCAAACTTCTTATGTTCTTTAAACCCCACACTTCTACTTCTTCCAAAACCCCACACTTCTACTTGTTCCAAAACCCCACACTTCTACTTCTTCCAAAACCCCACACTTCTACTTGTTCCTAAACCCCACACTTCTACTTGTTCTTTAAACCCCACACTTCTACTTGTTCCAAAACCCCACACTTCTTATAGTTCCTAAGCCCCCACAATTCTTAATGTTCCTTAAACCCATTCTAACGAATTTTGAATAATTTCCGTTGATCGGATTTATTTCTCAAACATTGCTTATGAATTTATCAAGTTCTAATAATAATGCGCACTATTATACACATAGTGTTTGCCATTCACTTCTTTTTTTCAATGAGATTCTATTCTATTTTAAAAGTTTAAGTAATTAAAATTGGATTTATAAATCATGTCTGTATCCCGTTTGACCAACCCATTTGTATAAGAATATTATAGAAAGTTTAAGGGAGATCAGTCCCGGTTTATTAAATCACAAAATACCTAGCTTGTGATTTCGTACGCCCTATTCATCGTTACTGTGTTAAAATGGCCTGAAAGTTTCAATGCTAGCACCGCTTGCCATCAGAAAATATTAACACAGTTTATTGACCTTATCAAAGGTTACTTGTGGAGTAGAGACACGTGCATGTTTGTTTTGATTTAAGGCCAATGACATTTGTAACCCGCCACGTGCCATCAAGTGTTGTATATAGTTTTTTTTAATTACCACAACATTAGTAAACAAAAAAAAAAAAAAAAAAAAACAGTAAAATATTATAAACATATAGACTTATAATTGGAATCATTCATTTTTAAATGTACTTCCACTGTGGGCGTTAGCACATTGAGATAAGTTGGGTGGGTTCCAAATATATGAGAAAAGTATTTAGAATCCTAGGCCAGCCGGAATATAGGCTAAAAAAAAAAAAAAAAAAAATATATATATATATATATATATATATATATATATATATATATATATATATATATATATATATATAAATAATATATCTATATATATAAATTATATATATATATATATAAATAAAAATAAATATATATATATATATAAATATACATATATATATACATATATATATATATATATATATATATATATATATATATATATATATATATATATATATATAAATATACATATATATATACATATATATATATAAATATACATATATATATAAATATACATATATATATATATATATATATATATATATATATATATATATATATATATATATATATATGTATGTATATATATATATATATGTATATATATATATATATATATATATATATATATATATATAACGCGCATTGAAGCGATATCGTTAGACAAGTGACGTAGGCAGGACGGAATGCCCCCCACCCCCTCCCCAAGGACCTTGAAATGACAGCTGTCAAAACAGGCTAGACTACCGTTTTTTTTAATAAGGCCGGCTCGTGTCGCTAACGATGCTTTCAGATTCAGAATTGTAAAAATATTGTAGCTAGAAACATACACAAAATCGATTTTGAATTTAGCATCCCATGCGATTAGTTTCATCACAGTGTCTCTTTTATTTTGTTAATTAATTAAAATTCATTCTTGAAATCGTCTTCAGCTAACAGAAACACACCCAAAAATTGTCTTTTTGCAATTACAGTCGTCAGATTACAACATCTATTTAGTGCTGACATATTTATCAACCTTTTAATGATTCAGTATCTACCGCGTCCTTCCTGCACCTCGCTAACGTATCAATCCATCTTTATTTATAATGTCATTCCACTTCAACGTCTTAAGCTAAGTTTTAATCAAATTTACCACTTGTCATAAGTAGTAGTAAAGTTCCCTTTCAAACCTGACGGTCTATGGGGCAAGTGAAGTAGAGTTCACTTGTTTCCGTGACCACGGCATATACAGAGATAGTGTGGTCAGCTTACTTACTTACCACTTGTCATATTTGCTAGACAAGGCAAGTAGCCACATACGTCCTGTCTTGATCTACTGCGGAATCTAAACGATATATAACGAGGTATCATCGTGGATTTATATAGCCTGGTTTTATTGGTCAGCTGAAGTACTACTAACCACTGAGGTGATAGCTCTAACACAGCCTGCGACTCTCTTGTATAAGAAACGTGTTTATTTGCCAAGAATAACTGTCCGAAATCCAATGTGTAGTTACAAGCGCTACACTTATATGTTGATCTGTGTCTTAGTATGAGCGCCGGTCTTACTCTGCTGTTCAATTATAGCGCAGTAACGGACTACCAAAAATTATGAATGGTCAAGTACTACTGATTTAACACCATTTAGATCTTGTCTTAAATAAGCTGGCCACACGACTTCTGTTGAAAATAGGTCGTGCACACTAAGGAAGGTGTCTATTTTTTCAATGCAGAAAATGAGAAATAAACTGGACGAAGATAAATAAAACTGTATTCATGAAGAATCAGGCCTCAGCATGATATAACACTCTAAAACATGTATTCCAGCATCATTCACAGTACAACAAACTACCTATATTGGCATTTCTAGATAAATGTATTTGAATGAATTATAGTTCTTGAGTGAACTAAAATGCTTGGAATTTAATTTGACTTATAGTAATGTCGCAACAGTCTAACTGGCTAAAGGAACAAACATGCTTTCATAAAGTGGAAAATGTAAACAAATGCAATGGAAATTAAAAGTAACATCCAGAAAGTTAAGGTAAGACTAGGTGTTAAGTACCTACATATTTATTTTACAGTTATCTGCATCACTTCAGCAAATACACAAGTGCAGTGAAATACTGTAGAGTGACACGTTTGTATAACATGATTAAAAATTATTAAGGGTTTTTGTTGAAAGTATAAAAAGTTAAAAACATAAAACTGATTGTTTAACGTCACTTAACATTAAAGAACAAATGATACATTACTTTAATTTTAACTAGCTGAAACGGTATGTTTTAATACACAATTAATATTGAAACTGTCGGTTGTGCAAAACAAAAATAACATAATACACGAGATATGATATAAATATAAAACCAAATCTATATAAACACATGTGTATGCACTAGCCGTCCGACCCACCTCAAAAACCCTGGCTACGCCCCTGCCTTTAGTTTAAGGTTAACTATTAGCTACATTGGTGCAGAGGTTAATGTTCAACAACCATCACAATGTTTGAGAATTCCTACATACATTCCAATGTTTGTAAATAATAACAAAAGAATGTGTGGGCTGAAAGAAAAATAAACAACTGTGCTTGTAGTGTATTTAAGATGTGTACTCACGCACGCATTTGTCATTCGGATAACTTCAGTCAAGCAACACCTCACTGTTATTACAACCTGCGATCTAGCGTGAGATACAGTTGTGTTAGTAAAATTCTGTTGGAGTTCTACTTGTAAGTACTATGTTTCTCTTGCGCTACTGTGGTGTTATTTCTAGCTAGAGCCTACACAAATGAAAATACTACTTATCGTATCGTGTGCCATTTGTAGTGTTAGTTCTAGCTAGAGCCTACACAAATGTAAGTACTACATGTTCAAGATTGTGCTATTGTAGTGTTAGTTCTAGCTAGAGCCTACACAAATGTAAGTACTACATGATCTAGATTGTGCTATTGTAGTGTTAACTTTAGCTAGAGCCTACACAAATGAAAGTACTACATGATCTAGATTGTGCTATTGTAGTGTTAGGTCTAGCTAGAGCTTACACCAATGTAAGTACTACATGTTCTAGATTGTGCTATTGTAGTGTTAGTTCTAGCTAGAGCTTACACCAATGTGAGTACTACATGTTCTAGCTTTTGCTGCTGTAGTGTTAGGTCTAGCTGGAGCCTACACCAATGTAAGTTCTAGTACATGTTTTAGATTTTACTAGAGTTGTGTAAGTAAAGTTCTAGCTATTGCCATCACACGTGTAAGTACTACGTGCTACCCGATTGGTTACAAATTTATTTACAATTCTTCAGACCAGAATTCATCTTCTAACCCAACTGTCCTTCATATCTCGAGTTTCTAATTTATCTTTTTTTTTTCTAATAATAATGCATTAAATTAAGTTTAACAATAAAAATATAGTTATATTTCCTCAGATAATTATATTGTAACATTTTTTTAAATGCAAGAAAATAAAAAAATAATAGAGCAAAACCACTAATTGTGTATAGGGCCTACATAAGTTAGCAATTTATATAAAATTGTGTATGGAAGTTTAACATGTTACTGTTTGTTTTAACAATACTACAATGAGCTGTGCTGTTCAGATAAAAATCAGTTGTCGTAACAGTAAAGTTAACAATGGCTTTATTTTAACTTAGAACATCTTGGATAATTTAAGCATTATGTTCAAGTTTTGTTTTAGTTGATTTCAAAATGTTAGAACAATATTTTTCTTGATAGTCTGTCCACTATCTTAAGTTATGAAAATGGTTGATTATTTTTTTTTACTTATTAGTGACAGTATTTTAGATAAATATTGTACTAGATTATTGTAATGGCTTCATTCATCTACGTTAAAGTAAACTTTAGAAACAGAACAAATAAACATTCCTCTGATAGATGGATTAAAATCATCGGAACTTCTGATTTAATACAATCATAACATTTCAATTTAGTCAAAATTATTAGTATAGATGTAATGCAATATGTTTAAATTTGAAGTCAATCTGACTAAAAAAAAACTTGCTTTATTGTATGTCTATTACACACTGTTTTGTTCGTCTTTTGTGTTACTCACAAAATGTTCACTTTAAACGGTCGATTATTATCGTTGTTAACAAATATTTCACTAAATAAACATAAAGCGGCAGTAAGCTCCCCTAAACTTTCTCATATATCATTAGATAACTATTATAACAGCAAAGATTAATATGGTTTTTCTTGTAGAATCGGGTGGTAGAAATAGCAAATATGTTTGTACAAAATTGTTCGTTTTTCGAGAAGAAAATTTTAAAGAATAGGCAGCGTTGTGTGTGAATAATATAAAACAAAAATGTCTCAATTTTTAACTGGAAATATAGTAATTATTCCGTGTATCAGAGATCTCTCAAAAATTGCTAGAGACCTACGTATGTGATTCCCACGAACTGAAACACATACGCACATAGACAGGCGGTATACGATAAAGACATAAAACGAAATGCTAACTTATCTTTTTTTCAGCTTACCAAAGATGTTTGTAGTGTTTATAACCTTCTCAGCTGTTTTGGTCCTAACTGGTATGTTTTCTTTAAATGCTTGTTAAATTCAAACATTGTTTTACTAAATTATTTTTTGTGGTTATATAAAGTTTCTATTTATTTAAATTATTTGTATCTGCCTTAAGGCCGTCCATTACTTACGTCAGGCTTTTTCTACGAATTTTACCTAGCTTCTCATAAAAATTCAGACCCCTTCCCCCTACCCACAATTTCTGAATTCCCTTCCCCAAGCATACATGACATGAATGAACGAACAATCTGACATAAGGAATCTAAAAAAATATAATCAACTAACCTAAATATTACCTAAACCATTCATGTAGCGATCGACAACCAAGAAAACTTGTAATTCTTGAAATTACAAATTGGCCAGAACATTTGTAGAAAATGCCAATTTGACATAATTTGTTTTGGACTTCTGTTAAAACTTCCAGATTAAAACACAACATTTAATCTTCAGTAGCTCAAACTAATTCACACAATGTAATAGTTATAACTATCTTAAATTGTAAGAGTTTAATGGAACTTTCGGTAGCAATAAGATTGTATTAGAGAAAATATATAACTTTTTATGCTTGAGGAATCTTTCTATAACAAATAATGTGCAAACTTTGTATTGTATCTTTCCATTTCAGGAGCTTTGCCTTTTAGTAGTCGTTGTAAGCATTTTATATTTTAAAATATCATTTAAAAATTATTAAGTTTTTTTTATCCGTAACCTGCTTGTGTATTACATTATTAAAATCATTTAGGCCTAGAGTCTGATAAATCATTAAATTTAAAAACTTTAAAAAAAAAAATAAATTGTAATGCAACATTAAATTATATGTTAGATTACTTATGATCTTTTTTTTCGAGCATTTGATTCAACAAAAAAAAAACATAGTATTAGGAAAGAAAACACGTTAAAAAATTCATGAAAACAAGCTTTTATGTAAAAATGCACTAAAAAGTAGAAAATAAATCATACACTACTATTTAAATTACTATAAAGAAAAGCGTGGGTCTGTTGGATACCTTTATTAATATTTAGGAAGAGACCCACGCTTTTCTTTATAGTTACTTAAATAGTACTGTATGATTTATTTTCTACTTTATAGTGCAATAATAAATACAAGCTTGTTTTTAAAACGTTTGTTTTATGAATTTTGTTGTCCAGTACTTTAAATGTTTTAAATTTACAATAGAGTTGCATGACTAAAACCATTGCGCACATAATGAACGTGATGACGCGTGTATAATAGTGCTAAATAGTTTGATGAGACAGCTACTAATTTGGGCACAATTTTAATTAATTCATAAAAAATTAATTAGGCAACCAATTAAGACAAATTCAATGTCATGTTGCATTATCTTTATATCTTGACTACAAACCGTATCTATCAGTTAAAAGTGCTCGTGATTTTGCTCTGGCATTTCGATCTAGACAGACAGACTGACGACAGACAGAGGAAGTGAGTTAAATAAAATCTAGTTAAAAGCTTGTAATCATCAGATCTAATACAATTGAAAGTTTTTAAGAACTATGTGCTAAGTAACAATAATATTAGAGTTAGTTTTTGGTTAGGGTAAAATTATCAGATTTAGAATAACTTACATTTGAGATTATTCTAGTGGAGGGAATGGAAAAAGAAAAGCATTTTACTGTGCATCCTTTTAATAAACAAGTTTTTATTTAAACCGACAAGTTTGGGCAGATGAGGCTCGTCAGCTGAGGACAGCAACCCATCTAGGAGAAAAATTTCTGAAATTAAACAGGAGTGGAGCCCCTTAGACTATAGGATTACCAACTCTGGTTTCCTTTCGGGGCAGCTCCTGCGACACAGCTTATTCTAAGCTGTACAAGCAAATCCTTGGGTCAATCAGCCGTGATGAGAAAAGGTTGCCTGATACATTGGCAACATTTGGCTCTTCTCAATTTAGGGCCCTGCTTTGTTGTTGGGATTTTCAATACGCAATCAGTCAATGGTCAAATTAGACTACGGAGTCATAGTTTTATTTAACATTTTAATTTGGAAAATTAATTTCTTATTCTAAAAGTGGGACCAAATCTTTCATCTGCCACGATAAAGACTCCTGCTTATGTTACCAGTAAGTCTTTCAAAATTCTATTTCTATACAAATAATGATACAACATAATAAAATATCTTAATAGTTACCCCAAAATTTATTTAGTAACTCACAATATTTAAATGTAATTTGATCGCTATTGTCAGCTAAATTTTTGTCGATTAGATACAGTCTGCTATAGAATAGGCGATATCATTTATAACTTAAAACAAACATTATTAGTATTTACAAAATAGATTACTTCTGTCTAAAATGTATTTTAATGCATACCTGGGTGCTGATATTTTTTATCGAAACCGTTTAGCCCCTACACAAATCTTATCTTCAGGTTGGTATTTAATTATTTACCTAATTTAATAAGCGTTTCTAAATTATCATTGTTCTCTAATAGTTAGGCGTTAAATTAAGTTTAACAATAAATATATAGTTATATTTCCTCAGATAATTATATTGATACATTTTTAAAAATTGTGCATACATAAGTTAGCAATTTATATAAAATTGTGTATAAAAGTTTAATATGTTACTGTTTGTTTTAACAATACTACAATGAGCTGTGCTGTTCTGATAAAATCAGTTGTCGTAACAGTAAAGTTAACATTGGCTTTATTTTCACTTAGAACATCTTGGATTATTTACGTATTATGTACACTTTTTTTTGTTAGTTGAAAACAAAATGTTTCAAAAATATTTGTCTTGATTACTTTAAATATTTTAAAAGTTTAAGTCGTCAAAATATACTTCTTTAAAAACTATATATTTTGTTTTATCGTTTAACTTGATAATTTAAATTCCCACACTATAAGGATCAACAACTCTTTCATCTACAATGACAACCAAGCCTGTCAATTTGACCAGTAAGTCTTTTCCTAATATATATTCGCATAATAAAGACGATATTTTATAATTGTATTCTATATCTTAATTTTTTTGCCCTGCCAACAATAATACCTGAAGTTAGATATGGATTTTTACTTACCTTATTCGTCATTCTAATAGGGCAAAAATAATTATTTATCTACTGTATAGTTTGTTCTGTTGTTTAAATTGGAAAAATTAAATTCCTACATTCTAAGGATCAACAACTCAAACATCTACAATGATAACCACACCTGTCAATTTGACCAGTAAGTCTTTTGCTAATTTGCAATAGCATAAAGACAACAATATTTTATCATGTACAGACAATTGTCTAATCAATATGCTACAGAAAAGTTAAATTTCGTTTAGTATGCTTCAAAATAATTTGCATGGGTAAAAACATTGTATTCTTTATCTTCATTTTTAGCCCCGCAAACAATGGCATCTGAAGGTAGATATGGATTATTTACTCAACTTCTACAAATTTTCTATTTTATCATTTCTTATTTCAGAATATAGACCTACTTTAAGTTTAAATTTAACCTTTTAATGGAATAAAAATTAAGTTGTCACTGTTTTTTTTTTATATCTCTACATTGGTATTAAGTTCTTCCGTTGTCTTAATTATTTTTTATAGCAAAATATTTCTGATGTATTTTTGTTTTGATTTCTTTATTTAAGAATCAGGCCCTGATGCCTTCCCTATTGCAGGTAGAGAATTTAACCAATCTGTAGTTTACAGCACTTAAGTTGATGCACACACATTAAATATTTCATCATAATTTATGAATGTTCTACGACTATATGTTGTATAAATCTATTTACGAAAGTGTCACTTATCTTTTAGGTGTTGCCATTGGAGTTTTGTTCCCCTTTGCAGGAGTCATTGGGCTCGTGGTTCATTTTTGCTTCTAATGTGAGTGTTTTCTTGGCTCCTTTCTGATATTTATGTTTACATTTCATCTTCATTGCATACAATACCAGTTTATACTGAAATGGTTTCTGATCGATATAGCAGTCATTTGAATTGTAAAATAATGAGCAATTTAATTGGCAAGAATTTAATCACATTTTAACTGGATAATTTCAGGTGCAGAAACAAGTTATGCTCCAGTTTGATTAAGAATAACTGTTGCTACACTTTATTTTAAGTATTTATTCATTAAACATCTTTGTTGCTCAATTAAAAAAATGTATTCTTATTTTTCCAGTGTGCTTGTCTTTAAGATTCATATTTCTCTTAATGTTTATTGTTACCTTACTGTTGGGAAATTAATACTTGAATTAACAGCAGTCAATTTCTATGATTGAAATGTTCCTAGCTTGAGACAGTTACTTGCACCTTATAAGGTAAGGTTTTTAACGCTCAAAATTAAGTGAAAAAATAACAGATGAGAAAGTCTGACCATATTGTTTCATGTCCTTTTTAGGACAATGGTAAATGATTATGATTCCTGGGGTAGTGAGTTTGTGAGTTTTTTGAACCCGTTGTTGTTTTCTATATTACGGGTCGAATATGAGTAAAAGACGTGTAAACGATAGTTACAGGGCGTGTTGTTGACAGCTTGTTTGGAGGTTGATAACAAGATTGTAAAAACTGCAATACAGATGTTAGAAACACCGTACCCATTGTTTTAGTTTAATGTGGTACTTCTTGAGCATAAGAATTACTATGGACAAATGAATTCGACTTCAACATTTGAGGGCACCGTCCAAAAAACAACCTCAGTGAATATGGATTTTGATAGAAGATAATGTGTAAGCTGCTTGTCAGGTGTGTGTAAAAACGGAATGATAAAGTGCTCTGAACTTTTCGTTTTATTAATTTTTTATTATTATTATCTACTTAAACATATGTGTCTGATTCAGTACATGTAGCTATTTTCCTGATGCTGTACCTTTCGCAGTTTGACTGATGTTGTACCTGTCGCAGTTTGCCTGATGCTGTACCTGTCACAGTTTGCCTGCTGCTGTACCTGTCGCAGTTTGTCTGATGCTGTACCTGTCGCAGTTTGCCTGCTGCTGTACCTGTCGCAGTTTGTCTGATGCTGTACCTGTCACAGTTTGCCTGATGCTGTACCTGTCGCAGTTTTCCTGATGCTGTACCTGTCGCAGTTTGCCTGCTGCTGTACCTGTCACAGTGTGCCTGATGCTTTACCGGTTGCAGTTTGCCTAATTTGTACCTGTCATCGTTTGCTTGATGATGTATATATCTCAGTTTTCCTGACTATGTACGTGTGACATTTTGAATGATGCAGTGCTTATCGCAGTTTAACTGATGCTGTGCCTGTCACAGTTCGCCTGCTGCTGTACCTGTCACCGTTTGCCTGCTGCTGTACCTGTCACCGTTTGCCTGATGATGTACCTGTCACAGTTTGCCTGCTGATGTACCTGTCACCGTTTGCCTGCTGCTGTACCTGTCACCGTTTGCCTGATGATGTACATGTCACAGTTTGCCTGCTGATGTACCTGTCGCAGTTTGCCTGATGCTGTACCTGTCGCTGTTTGTCTGATGCTGTACCTGTCACAGTTTGCCTGCTGATGTACCTGTCGCAGTTTGTCTGATGCTGTACCTGTCGCAGTTTGCCTGATGCTGTACCTGTCACAGTTTGCCTGATGCTATACCTGTCGCTGTTTGCCTAATGATGTACATATCGCAGTTTTCCTGACTATGTACTTGTGACATTTTGAATGATGCAGTGCCTATCGCAGTTTAACTGATGCTGTGCCTGTCACAGTTCGCCTGCTGCTGTACCTGTCGCAGTTTGCCTGATGCTGTACCTGTCGCAGTTTGCCTGATGCTGTACCTGTCGCTGTTTGTCTGATGCTGTACCTGTCGCTGTTTGCCTGATGCTGTACCTGTCGCAGTTTGCCTGATGCTGTACCTGTCGCAGTTTGTCTGATGCTGTACCTGTCACCTTTTGCCTGATGATGTACCTGTCACAGTTCGCCTGCTGCTGTACCTGTCGCAGTTTGCCTGATGCTGTACCTGTCGCTGTTTGTCTGATGCTGTACCTGTCACAGTTCGCCTGCTGCTGTACCTGTCACAGTTTGCCTGCTGATGTACCTGTCACAGTTTGCCTGATGCTGTACCTGTCACAGTTTGCCTGATGCTGTACCTGTCATCGTTTGCCTGATGATGTACATATCGCAGTTTTCCTGACTATGTACTTGTGACATTTTGCCTGATGCAGTGCCTATCGCAGTTTAACTGATGCTGTACCTGTCTCAGTTCCCGTGTACTTTGTGACTGTGCTCATGTGACATACCAGCGCGTATTGGCACACAACCTCCTTGTGAGTCGGTTGTGTAGTTTTGTGTAGATCATGTGTAGAAAATGGATTAATACACTGAAGAATGAGTGCAACTGGTAGCAGTGAATTCAGTGAAGAAGAAATATTGATTATTGCAATCCATAAAACATTGTATCATGCGTGAACAAACCTAAATTAATTGCATTTTATACTGTTGTTAAGATTGTAATTATTGTAATTATGCATTGTAATTCTAAATGCTAAATTGTTTAAAATATTGTTTCCCAATTAATTCTCTCTAACTACCAAATATTTGTATCTGTTTCATGTTGGTCCATCTAAAATAATAGTTTTCTAACATCTAATACAATTTGAATCAAAAGTAAATGTAAAACATAAAATTAACGTTTAGATATTTTTCATAGCATATGTAGTAATTTTAGATTTTGCTAATTGTACATATTTTAGATGCGTTATTATTATCTGTTTTGTTTTATTTTGAATTTTTTTCTCTATAACCTTTAAGGCTTCATTTTTGTGCTTGTAAATCTATATATTGTTTCTGTAAGTTTATGCCTCGCTGGGTAATGTTCAATAAATATTCTTGACTGTTTCAGCTATTCTTTTATTTCTAACGTTTGATTTATTTTATATTTCTTTAATTATTAACATTACTTACGACACATTTATCTAAATGTCTTACATAATCATAAAAAATATGACAAACTATAATAAGTGGAAATATACTTTAAATTATGATTTATTTATACATAGATCTGGTTTACATAAATCTAGATATATGGTAGAGAAGTAGATTTCTATTTTTACTTTCATCTAAACATATAAATTCGTTGTGGACTGGACTATGACCAGCTGATTTTGACTCATGAGGCTCATGAATTGACTTAGTGAGATTGTATATACTTACTTCTGGAAATTATGTTGTCTTGAATCTTACTATTTACATTGTTTCACTGTTTGAAGCAAGCAATTTGGTTTAGACATCTCTAGAAATGTGGTGTATTGTATCTTATGAACAGAAAGTGACAATGTTCTAATGTCGATACGGGTGGTAATGTAGACTTTATGTGGTGTATAAACATAAGTGGTAATGTGCACCATATTTATTTTTGTGTGAGTATTTTACAATACAAATAAATTCCAATAATGTGCATTAACTTTTCGTTCACTTTACTAGTCTCTCCTGTAATTGTAACAATTGTAACAATATCAAACATAAAAACATTTCTATATGGTAAGTAAAACGTTTAATTAGAATTATAATATTCAAACAGATAGAGCTTTATCATCTTCTCAAACATGTGTCTTGATCCAAATACAGGCACACAATCAACACTCTTAAAAATATTATCAACTTAAATTAAAAACTTAGTATCCTTGAATAAAAACGAGTGAACATTGAATGTATTAAAATTTCTCCCAACAAAAACAAATCAACCAAAACTACCGTACCTTAAATACGAAATCTAATCAAAATAGAAACAAAAACAGGTTGTACTAATTAAACAAATTAAAGTAGTTTTAGATGCACATCTTAGTTACTGAATGCGAGCAAGATCCATTTCAGTAAAACAGACATACATGAAACGTTCTCTTCTTATTTACTTACAGCTCTAGCATAGTATGCGCAGATTAGTAAAACTCATTTATTCATTGGGGATTCATTTTACTATTGATATATATAGGTGAAGAACATCGGGTATACATTAATTAAAACAATGTGCAAACTGACACCTTTTTAATTTAAGCTATATTTTCTTTAAGTACAAATTAAATAATAAAGTATCTAGACCTATTCAATATATAGTGTAAATTTTGAAACAACCAGATGATTAATAAGAACGGAAGAGCTTTTTTAATATAACAAATATAGAATGAAGAATTTAAAAATTAACAATACATGATAGTTAGCCATCATTGTGAGTAAACATATTATTTTCTAGTGTTAATCTAGTAGTAAACATGTTATTTTGTAAATAAATAAGACTTTTTTTCTACTGAACGCTCAAAACCATGCATATAAACGCAAGTTGTTTCAAAGCAACATCATTATCAGTGACGGTTAAGGCATGTAAAGTTAACACTGTTTATATACATTTATAACAAAAAAAGGAACTTTTTATGAAATTAATGAATAAAAAAAGAGTCAATTTTGTTTTTATAACAAATGGATAAAAAATATCTTTTAAAAAAATGAATGAAAAAATATTCTAGTAATAATGCAGCAAAACAACATTATTAGTTATTCATTTAAAGTGATCTTTTAAAAATAATACTTTAAACTGAATAGCTTTGTTCATCATACCATAAATAAATAAACACAAAATAAAACAATAAAAAAACATGAGAATGCATATTTTAGAGGCAAGCAGTAAAAATAAATGTTGAATATGTGAGTTTTTAGCTAGTCTTTTATAATAAACACACATTTAGTGAAAACCTATATCTCTGTATTTTGATTAAACTGCAAGTTGTTTTTTCCTTAAACGTGTCACTAGCGGCCGAAACTCTTTCACAAGCGGCGACATTATGTGATATTATAAAAATATCTATACAATCAAGGTCATTTTAAATCTTACAGATTATCTAACACTTCATCGTCTAATATTAAATATATTAAGTTAATTATCTCCAAAAAAAATACACCATTTTAAAAACAGTTTATAAATTGAATACAGTTTTTAAGACTAAAAGTATCTAAATGAGATATTTAACACATGTTGAAGCCTGCTCTAATGGCTGTCATAATTAAACTTCTGATTTTGATTCTTCGGTATCTTCACTGTCGTTGCTCTCCTCGGTAGCTTCAGTTTCTTCAGTGTTAGCAGAAGTGTCATCAGTACTAGTACTTGAATCATCATCATTCTTATTGTCATCGACATTTTCATCATCCTCCTCATCTGAATCACTTCCGTCATCATCGTTGTCATTATCTTCGGTATCGTCAACATCATCAATTCCCTTCAGCCGTCGACTCGCTCTCTTGGCTGTAAGGAAGGAAACATTGGTATGATTTCAGCCACTGAAAACTGTAAGGTTTTTAAATTATGTGTAAAAGTATTTATAACTGATGTTGCTTGCTCTTATGTAAAAACTGACCAACCCATCAGTTTTGAAAACTGATAAAACAAATAAATTTCACTTCATTTAAATTACCATTTAAAAATGATGTTAAGATGATTAAATTTTAAAAAAATGTTCTAGAAAAATAAATTAAATGTTTGTTTGTGTTTCTATTTGTGCTTATTTGTGTAATTGTGTGTAATTGTACTGCATGACCCCCGCAATACGGTGGGAGGGGGGAGCAGGACGTTTAAGGGGACCACAATCCGATAGAAAATAACAAAAAAATGTTATATTTTTTGCAACTTATTAACAAGATAATAACATTATACTGAGAATTTTATATATTCCCAAAACCAGGGCAGCTAAATAAACACTTTTAAAAAAAAAAAGCCAGTGCAGAGCTTTTAATGGCCCTTAGCAGGGTGTGTTAATTTTATTGTTATCAATGTGGATGTTGTGGTGGTAGACCAATGGCTTCGGGCTGCTCCTTGTGTAGGTTAGTTTGGTTCTACCATGATTTTTTTTACACGTTATTTTTAAATTTGCTAGTTAAATTCTATTTTTTTAATACTTCCTGATGGCTTATTTAACCCTGTTGGATACCATGGCGTTCTTGGTAGGACAGTGGCTAGGTGTGTTTTAAGAATTAATTTTAGTAGGCTATTTGTGGAATTAGTGTTAGTAGTAGGGAATAGATTTTTTTTACTCGAGGCTTTAGCTAGTAATTGTTAGCAGTAGTAAGGGATATTTAAACATGTGTATATAATTATTTATATATTTTCCATGCATTTTATTTATGTTTCCTCTTTCTTTTCTCCCCACCCCGTTTCCACTGTGGTTGCATTTGCAACTTGGCTGTGTGTTTTGTATCTTTTGTTTTGAATGTTTTGTTTGTTTAGTGTTTGGTTCGATGTTTTGTTTGTATGCCGTGTGTTTGGTATGGAAGTTACTTAGCTTGTCAATTGCCGTAGGGGATTGGAAGGTTGTCTGACGGTCAGAAATCTAGATTATCCGAGGCTTCGAAGGTTTATAATATTCCATCGAAAGATGGGCATTTTATTGTATTTAGTTTGGTAGATTTGAATTATTTTATAATAAATTTGGTTCTATTTTTTTGTTAAAATTTTTTTTTATAAACTGTTAAGCTTAATGTTTTATTTTAGTTTAGACCAGGGGTCTCCAAACTTTTTAATCCGAGGGCCGCATTAACTATCAAATTTCAGTTCGGGGTCCAGTTTGGGCCGTAGTTTGGAGACCCCTGGTTTAGACTAAGGTTAGGATTTAACCATTCTGGATTTAGCCGTACTTGCACTGACCGGTGACAGGATAGATTATTTATAATATATATATATGTATATATATATATATATATATATATATATATATATATATATATATATATATATATATATATATATATATATTTATATATTAATGTGAACCTTCATCTTCTTAAGAACTTACCAATGTAGTCTTTAACTTGATTCGAATCTGGGAATACAAATATCAGTTTAATAGAATTCAATGGAAAAAGCTACCAGGTAGGCATAACTTTACATGATACATAATTTACATTAATTATTTAAATTAAAAACCTGGTAACTGTGTTTATGACACGTTTTTATGTTAACAAGAGTTTAAATGAACCAAGGTACATTAGTTTACACTGCAATGAGTGAATCCAATGAACATTGGTTTACACATACATTTGATGTTACATGAAGCTACCGGAGTTAAACCTGATACTCTTTATGGTATGTGCTTGTTCTTTATATTTTCCGGTGTGGTTATAAATTGTCTAAACAAGAATTCTGATATAAAACCTAAGTATAAAGTATGAAAAACTGGTTTCTTGGCTGCACAAAGCGATTCCTTTTACCAAAGTCTTGCACTAAACATTAATCCGGATACTATAGGATAAGTCTCGTAATTGCAAACACATTTCTTAATTTCATAAACAGATGGTGATTAAGTGCCTAATATATTGGTAATTAAATAAGAACAATGGACAAATTTAAAATAAAAATTCAGCTGTTAAAAGGGAGTTTAGTATGACATTAATTGCATATACCTCATCTGATATGAAATCACGTCTTATTACGGAAAAATAAAAACATATCAAACGCCAGATACTGACCAAAAGAAGATCACATACAAACTACAATGAGCTAACAAACCGAACCAAGATCACATACAACTACAATGAGCTAACAGACCGAACAAAGATCACATACAACTACAATGAGCTAACAGACCGAACCAAGATCACATACAACTACAATCAGCTAACAGACCGAGCCAAGATCACATACAACTACAATGAGCTTACAGACCAAAAAAAGATCACATAAAACTACAATGTGCTAACAGACCAAATAAAGATCACATACAACTACAATGAGCTAACAGACCGAGCCAAGATCACATACAACTACAATGAGCTTACAGACCGAACGAAGATCACATACAACTACAATGAGCTTACAGACCGAACAAAGATCACATACAACTACAATGAGCTAACAAACCGAACAAAGATCACATACAACTACAAAGAGCTAACAAACCGAACCAAGATCACATACAACAACAATGAGCTAACAAACTGAACCAAGATCACATACAACTAGAATGAGTGAACGGACCGAACCAAGATCACATACAACTCCAATGAGCTTAAAAACCGAACCAAGATCACATACAACTACAATGAGCTAACAGACCGAACAAAGATCACATACAACTACAATGAGCTAACAAACTGAACCAAGATCACATAAAACTAGAATGAGCGAACAGACCGAACCAAGATCACATACAACTACAATGAGCTAACGAACCGAACCAAGATCACATACAACTACAATGAGCTTACTGACCGAAATAAGATCACATACAACAACAATGAGCTTACAGACCGAACCAAGATCGCATACAACTACAATGAGCTAACAAACCGAACGAAGATCACATACAACTACAATGAGCTAACAAACCGAACAAAGATCACATACTACTACAACGAGCTAATAGACCGACCAAAAATCACATACAACTACAATGAGCTAACAAACCGAACTACGATCACATACAACTACAATGAACTTACAGACCGAACTAAGATTACATACAACTACAATGAGCTTACAGACCGAATCAAGATCACATACAACTACAATGAACTAAAAGACCGAGCCAATATCACATACCACTACAATGAGCTAACAAACCGAACCAAGATCACATACAACTACAATGAGCTAAAAGACCGAACCAAGATCACATACAAACTACAATGAGCTAAAAGACCGAGCCAATATCACATACCACTACAATGAGCTAACAAACCAAACCAAGATCACATACAACTACAATGAGCTAACAAACCGAACAAAGATCACATACAACTACAATGAGCTAACAAACTGAACCAAGATCACATACAATTTCAATGAGCTAACAGACCGAACAAAGATCACATACAACTACAATGAGCTAACAAACTGAACCAAGATCACATACAACTAGAATGAGCGAACAGACCGAACCAAGATCACATACAACTACAATGAGCTAACGAACCGAACCAAGATCACATACAACTACAATGAGCTTACTGACCGAAATAAGATCACATACAACAACAATGAGCTTACAGACCGAACCAAGATCGCATACAACTACAATGAGCTAACAAACCGAACGAAGATCACATACAACTACAATGAGCTAACAAACCGAACAAAGATCACATACTACTACAACGAGCTAATAGACCGACCAAAAATCACATACAACTACAATGAGCTAACAAACCGAACTACGATCACATACAACTACAATGAACTTACAGACCGAACTAAGATTACATACAACTACAATGAGCTTACAGACCGAATCAAGATCACATACAACTACAATGAGCTAGCAAACCGAACCAAGATCACATACAAACTACAATGAACTAAAAGACCGAGCCAATATCACATACCACTACAATGAGCTAACAAACCGAACCAAGATCACATACAACTACAATGAGCTAAAAGACCGAACCAAGATCACATACAAATTACAATGAGCTAAAAGACCGAGCCAATATCACATACCACTACAATGAGCTAACAAACCAAACCAAGATCACATACAACTACAATGAGCTAACAAACCGAACAAAGATCACATACAACTACAATGAGCTAACAAACTGAACCAAGATCACATACAATTTCAATGAGCTAACAGACCGAACAAAGATCACATACAACTACAATGAGCTAACAAACTGAACCAAGATCACATACAACTAGAATGAGCGAACAGACCGAACCAAGATCACATACAACTACAATGAGCTAACGAACCGAACCAAGATCACATACAACTACAATGAGCTTACTGACCGAAATAAGATCACATACAACAACAATGAGCTTACAGACCGAACCAAGATCGCATACAACTACAATGAGCTAACAAACCGAACGAAGATCACATACAACTACAATGAGCTAACAAACCGAACAAAGATCACATACTACTACAACGAGCTAATAGACCGACCAAAAATCACATACAACTACAATGAGCTAACAAACCGAACTACGATCACAAAAAACTACAATGAACTTACAGACCGAACTAAGATTACATACAACTACAATGAGCTTACAGACCGAATCAAGATCACATACAACTACAATGAGCTAGCAAACCGAACCAAGATCACATACAAACTACAATGAACTAAAAGACCGAGCCAATATCACATACCACTACAATGAGCTAACAAACCGAACCAAGATCACATACAACTACAATGAGCTAAAAGACCGAACCAAGATCACATACAAACTACAATGAGCTAAAAGACCGAGCCAATATCACATACCACTACAATGAGCTAACAAACCAAACCAAGATCACATACAACTACAATGAGCTAACAAACCGAACAAAGATCACATACAACTACAATGAGCTAACAAACTGAACCAAGATCACATACAATTTCAATGAGCTAACAGACCGAACAAAGATCACATACAACTACAATGAGCTTACAAACCGAACAAAGATCACATACAACTACAATGAGCTAACAAACCAAACCAAGATCACATACAACTCCAATGAGCTAACAAACCTAACCAAGATCACATACAACTACAATGAGCTTACAGACCGAACCAAGATCACATACAACTACAATGAGCTGAAAGACCGAGCCAATATCACATACCACTACAAAGAGCTAACAAACCGAACCAAGATCACATACAACTACATTGACCTTACAGACTTAACCAAGACCACACACAAGCAACTACAATGAGCTTACAGACCGAACCAAGATAACATATAGTCCAGTCTGTATACAGAACACATAAACACAATAAAAAGTACTAGATGGGGACCACAAATAGACAATGTACTGACAACAACAAAACATACAGACGACATAGAGTTGACATTAATATAACATACAGACCACACACATACCACATGTAGACCATATAAAGACTATGTACCAACCCTAATACACACCACTACAATATTACATACTAACTAAGCGATTTCGTACAGAGCCGACTGACACTACAACAAGATTAATTACAGACAACATAGAGATCACAACAAGACAAAATACAGATCATTAAAAACCGCATATAGATTACAACAATACTACATACAACACACATACAGATAAAAGAAATTAAATATTTATCACAAACGCACTACATTTTGACGACAACAAAAACAAATAAATTACAGCTTACATAGAGACCACATATAAGAAACATACAGATTACCACAAGACTACATACAGACCACAACAAAAATAAATGGACAGTTCAAAACTACAACAAGAACACATACTGAACAAAACCACCAATTTTTTAAAAAGTTTAGACAAGACGACCTTTGGTAATGTATATTATTTATCGGAACACTAATTGAAATTTTTATCCTACCACTACCCTACTTTTTTCTTACGTATCGTAAACTTCCGAAATAATAGCCCTACCATTACCCTTATTTTCTTTAACATATCAATATACTAACCGAAACCATCACCCTAGCCTTAGTGCTATTTTTCATGCCCTCACCAAACTAGCCTTATCTTAAAAACTGATTCCATGGCTAAACCCCTTCCCTTTTTAAAATCTCTTTTAGCCGCAGATCATTACATCATACCTAACAGCTGGATGGGGTGGGGGGAGGGGGAATACAGGACTTGATGTGTTTACAATATTCACATTGTTGTTAATCGTTTCCTTCATGACAATACCAGACGTGTTTCTAGCCAGGGTTTTTATTATTTTTTTACATTTTCACAGCCTAATTTTCAAATCACATAAAATTACCTAAGGTATCCACTATTTCCACAGGTTTTAAGTAGCAGGTGAGTGCAACGATAAACACGTTAATCATCATCCCTATGAGGAGTATAGTCAAACCTAGGATGGTGCTGTTGTCGCTAGGTTCTTTGGGTGGTGGGTACACTGGTGGCTGAGGGAAGGGTTTTTGTATGATAATTCCTTTGACCTCATAGAAAGCATCAGCGTCTTCTGCAACATAATTCAGATTTAATAAATAAAAAATGCAGTTGATACGTACATTATCTAGACCAGTGGTTTTTAAAGAGATTCCAATGGATTGGGAAAGTTTGTCTTAAGGACTTGTTATAGGTCAAGACACACACCTAACACATAATATGATTTTTGCGATTTGATTGTGTCAGTGCTGACGGTTCAAATACGAAAACGGGACATCATTAACATTGAAATAAAATGCCCTCGAAGAATTCCTTCAACGACACCTATATTGGCGAGCGTAGATAGTGTATATATGGTCTGTGACGAACATGCCTTTTATTTCTATATTGTTAACCTGTAGTCGACTTGTGAATGTCGTAATGGCACTTCGTGTGAATTCCTTCTTAATATTTTAACCACTACATAATATATAAAAAAAAACAAAGAATGTGGCCGGATGAATTTGTATAATATGTATTCACATGTTAAAGGAACTTGTTAGGAGTGAATGATTTGCAATGCCAAGTTGAACAATTCTAGACTAGCAAATGCAAAACTAAGAGAACACTTCCTTCAGCTGTATGGAAAAGGAAAATAGAAGAACACAACGCTCACTGAGTTAAAGATAAAGCCACGCATTTCCAAACTGGTGATTGAGAGGCAACAGAAGTCCGGATGTTTGGATGTGTGTCAGTAAACACGATAACTTGAGTACCGTTACAGCTAGGTTGATGAAATTTCATATACAAGTATTATATCAAATTTGTAGATTCGTGTCAACTTCACCGATTTCCGATAATCGGAAGTGAAACTTTTTCTACTTTGAAATTTTCAAAAGCCTATAACTTGAGTACTTTTTAGATAGATAAATAAAATTTCACATACAAATAAAAGATATAATTATCTCTGCCTTCTATCAAATTTCGGGTGATTTCCGTTGACCGGAAGTAGTAATTAACGATATTTCCGATTTCTCAAAAAACGCATATGAATTTATAAAGTACTAATAATATCCCGCACTATTATGCACATTTTGTTTGGCGTTTATTTGATGGGCAATTCTTTTTTTCCACGAGATTCTATTCTATTTTAAAAAGTTTAAGTAATTAAAAATGGTTTAAAATATTGTCTATATCCCGAGTTGCCATCCCCGTAGTGTTATATAAGAATATTCATAAAGTTTAGAGGAGATCACTCCCAGTTTATTTGTTTAAAATGCACGGTAGATGCACGGTTCATTTTTTGCACCTGTAAAATGTTTACCTGTTTTTATTTTTTTTATTTATATATTATTTTTCTTATTAAGAAGGCTCTTTGGATTTCCTTTACCTCCACAAAAAAACAGTTCAAGAACCACAAGTCTAGACAATATCAAACATAATTTTAAAACGCTAATATCAGTGCCTTCCAATTCTCTCCAACCCTTATTCTAGCCCAAATATGTAAAGAAAAACAACCTAAAACCTTAAAAAGGATATTAGATCTCACATAAAATTTAACACCTATTAATAAGCAACTAAATAATTTTCGAAGTATGTTAAATCATACATAGACAACAATAAATTTGTGTTATTAAATTTGAAATTATTATTGTTTTGCTCAGATTTAATAACGAAATCTTGCAACCTTTTAAACTATATTGTGTTTACTATAACAACATTTAAAACTCTAAGAAGGTATCAGTAAAACGATGCACTCTACTCCACCTACCCTATTGACCGTCAGGTCAGAATGGGTATCTCTCTCATATGTGTGGATGTTAGTAGCGGCGTGTACTAAATTGGCTGATTTTAGAATTAGGTTGGAATAATTTTAGAAACTTTAAGAGCCACTAGACAAATATGCGATAGCAACAGATTACGTTTGTAATAAGCTTAAAAAGTCTATGTAATCGCACTGATATTTTTTTAAACCTTTAAAAAAATGGCAGGCGGTAAAATTATTGTTATACTATTATAATTATACTCATTTTCATATTTTTGTATTGAATATAAACCGTTTAGAATTATTTTATCAATTCAGATATTTTGAAAATCGCCCTCAACTCCACCTTGAAGTTAACTGAAACGACCTTAGAAAGTTAAACAATGAAAATGACTGTTATATTACTAGTAATTATTTGTTTGAATATTTCTATCCTTAATAAAACCGGAAGTCATTTGTACTAATTTCTCAAATGGTGTAAAATAATCAATTTTGGTTGAAAAATATGTTTTCGGGCAACAACCATTTGGAACCATTCGGAACCAGCTTTTCAAGCCTTTTGTGTAAGGTACTCCCCATAAGGAGAGAGAGAGCATTTGAGTTTAAATTCCTTAAAAAACTTTGGCATTTGGAGTCCATATTATATGGTGCGTTGACTTATGAAAATAAGCTAATAATTTCTGGACAATCCCAAACGGAAGGCAATGATGAAGTAGAGAGCGAATTAGGTGAAGTCCCTGACCACTTTGATTCAGTTATATATTGGGGTAATGAGGAGAGCTGTTCTAATTTGATCCCGATCATTATACCCGCAATTGATCTTAGTTAGGATTTTTAATAGAATTAAAAATTTACATATTTACAAATCATATATACAAGTTTTGTCTTTGTAGTGCACATACATATTTATTTTTCACATATTTTTGGTGAGATAAAAATTGTAGGTTTAAATACATTATGTTTACAATTTGTCCATAAAATGTCTTTTGGACATGTTGTAAATTTTCTACGAATGTATGGGCGATATCAACTTGGCAATTCTAAATCAGACAACAGCTCTTCTTACTTCTGACTAGCCCAAAGTAAAATTAGTTATACAGTTATAGGAACAAGTCAAATATTAAAATATTTTAATAATTCATACATCTTATTATATATAAATATAAGTATATAAATTCGTATCAACCAGCTTTTCAAGCCTTTTGTGTGAGGTACTCATTGTAATTAAAAACTTTTTTGTTTAAGGTTTTTACAGATAACTTTACCTGCAGAGTTTCTTCCAGGCATCTATTCGCACCACAACCCCGGAATTGGAATTTATATAGAAATATACTTTAAACAATGTCAACCCCCTCCCCCGAAAATTTTAGTCCGCCCCCCTCCCCCGAAAATTTCAAGTGCCCCACCCCACCCGGAGAAAAAAGTCTGGAAGAAACACTGTTTAACTGCTGATAAATCTGACATTTAACAGTTCTAAGAAATGATTTAAACTGCTAGAAATTAAATAATTCAGAGATCTATAAAAGTACTTAATAATACTTAATACTTAACTAATCTAAACTGAATTTTTTTAGTTAATAATACCATTGATGTTAAAACGATAATGCTACCTACCTTCTTCACAAAGCTCGCCTTTCCACCCGGGATAGCAGGCACGACATGTGCCGTCCAAGTAACAAAATCTATTATAGCAACTCTTGCTGCAAACATGGTCACATTCCAAGCCATAATAGGGTACAGCACACTCTGTAACACGAGATACGATACGAATGAAACCAATGTGTACTACTATTTAATCTCTTGTTTAAAAGAATAGTGTTTTTTAGTAGGATGTTTGGGCTAATTTAACCTAATAAAAATAAGAAGAAAACAATAAAAATAACCCAACTGTATTGTGACACAAACCGTACTCATTTTATTTAATGAATTCTTTCTGAAATTTCATTCACTATCACCAAAAGTATTTATAAAATAAATAATTAGGTTACAAGTAAAAAAAAAAGAAGCGCGGTTGGGCTTTTAAAAAAACAAATCACAAGTACAACCCGATTTATTATTATTGCAGCATTTTGAAATTATGTAATGTATTAATATGTTCAGCCCCGATTTATTTCAGACGGATAAAAAAATACTAAATAGGTAAAAACAGACAGTCTATATTTAACAATTACATTTGCTCCGCACCGCTCTGGTTCATAACGCATCGTACTATGTTTATACTAGGCGGAACTATAGTGGCAAAAATTGGGTCTTAGTAGTGGTAAAAAAATTATAAATAGTAAACTGAACAGCTGTGTTGGGCATTTAAATTAAAAATAAAAGTGTAAAATCTGACTTTTTAATTATTGCAGCATTTTATTTTATTATATCCTAAACCAACTTTATGTTTCAGAATGATAAATAAATACTAAATAGGTATATACAGACGTCTACAAAAAAGAGACTGAATTACACCGGCGATTAAAACAGGGCAGATTATTTAAATTAGGAAGACATAAAATGATGGAATAAAGGCCGCCTATATTACTTATACATATATTTCAAAAATTAAAATCAGTTTGAAATTTCATTAAACACTACTAGTGTTATAATGCACCAGTTTAAAAAAATGCATGACAACGTTTAAATAACAAGCTTTTATGTAATAATGCACTGAAAAGAAAAAATCTTTAAATATATTATAAACCTCTACTGTTTAAATAACTATGAAGAAAAGCGTGAGTCGCTATAATATGTATTGGTTATGTATACTAATATTTAGGAAGCGACCCACGCTTTTCTTTATAGTTATTTAAATAGTTGAGTATTATAATATATTTAAACTTATAAATGCATTTTTTGCAATTTTTTCAGTGCTTAAATTTTTTTACATACAATACAGTTACATGACTAAACCCTATTGCGCACCGAAAGAACATGAAAATGAGCGTATAATCGTGCGGAAAGAATAGTGCAAGATTGCTTAATAATTTCAGAAAATTTAAATAGAATCATAAATAATGTATTAGGCATCCAATTAAGCCATTTTAAATGTCATATTGCATTCTTTAAGTGATAAATTTGAAACGAATCTTTCAGTTAGAAGTGCCCGAAATGTTACTCGCCGGTTTTGATCTATGACGACAAACAGACTGTCGACAGACTGGTGACAAAGAAGCAATGTAAATAAAAGCTTATAAAAATGCATACATGCGTGGGTCACTATTTTACCTATTGAATAACGTTACTATAAATTAAGAAGCTACCTACCCTTTTCTTTACAGTTGTTTAATTAGTAGTGTATTATTACATATTTAAAGACAATTATTTATTTTCTCCTTATTAGTACATAATTATATAAAAAGTTATTATTTAAACGTTTTTATGCGTGTTTAATGCATTTTTATGCACTTTTCAGTTGCATGAATGAAACCTCTTGCACACCAAACGAACAAGAAAATGAGCGTATAATAATGATTGTAAATAGTAGGTAACCCTATTTTTTAGGAAAAATTTATTAATTCATTAACAATTAATTGGGCATCCAGTTAAGTCAAATTTGATGTCAGATTGCATTGTCATCGTTTCTTGACACATGTGCCAAAATTGAAACAAATCAGTCAGATAGAAGTGCTTGAAATTTCGCGCATCAGTTTCGATCTATGACGACAGACAGACAGAAAGACAAACATACAGTGAAACAGACCATAAACCTAACACTAACCACTACCAACCACAACCGCAACCGCAACCACGATATCTTACGAACATAGAAATAGAAATACAGCCTCTGTCCTCAACGAACTTCTAAAAAAAGATAACATAAACACAAATATAAACACATACACAAACAAATAAACCGTAATCGTAACCGTAACCGTAAATGTAAACGCAAACGTAAACTACGAAAATAAACATAAAGAAAAAAAACCATAAACCAGTCTTTCTTAAAACCATGACTACATAAACATCAGCGCTATCCCCTCACCGCACGTTCGCATTTAAAACAACTATATAAATAAACCGGGAGTGATCTCTCCTAAACTTTCTCGAATATTCTAATATAACACAACGTGGGATGGCAACTCGGAATATAGACATGATTTTTGTTTACTTAAAATTTTAAAAATAGAATAAAATCTAGTAGAAGTTAATTGCACACCAAGTGAACGCAAATAAAAAAGCGCATAATAGTGCGCAATATTATTAGTACTTTTAAAATTTACATTAGTTTTTTGAGAAATCGGAAGTAGCGTAAAGTACTACTTCCGGTCAACGAAAATTACTCAAAATTTAACAGAAGGTAGAGAATTAGATCTTTTACTTACATGTGAAATTTCATTTATCTATCTGAAATAGTACTCAAGTTATAGGCTTTTGAAAAATTCAAAGTAGGAAAAGTACCACTTCCGGTTATCGGAAATCGCTCAAAAGTTGATACGGATCAACGATTTTGATAAAATACTTATATATGAAATTTCATCAACCTAGCTGTAACGGTACTCAAGTTATCGTGTTTACACACGGACACACAGACAGACAGACAGACACACAGACAGACACACAGACATACGGACAAGATTGCAAAATTATGTTTTTCCGTATCAGTGAGGTGTGAAACGTCGAGATTTGTAAAAATCTCGATTTTTTTTTTGCACGATTACAAGACTTTCTCTATACTTCGTATATACGAGAAAGTAAAAATACATAAACTCAAACATACACCCAACATAGCCATAAACCTTAACCTTCACCAAAGCCCCAACTTCTAGTACAAACGTAAACCCAATCATAAAGTCGAACACAAACAATAACACAAACATTAGCATAAATACAAACCAACCCTCACCTTAACCTCAATTAAAATCATAAACATTAACATTAAGATAAACCCTCTCCACTCCCCACGCCTAAAAAACAAACACATAAAAATAAACACAAAAATAAACATAAACCCTAATTCTTAACAAAACCTCAACCACAAAACATAAACATATTTACATACATAACATAAATTTTAATTTCTTCAAATGTAATTTGATTTTTTTATACCACGTAAAAGGTAGTAATTTGTACAATTTTGGGAACTTCCAATCGATATATTTCTCTAAAATTCGGCACATTGCTTTCGCGAATGGAAAAATATAACTGCGAAAATGAGGTCGCCTATATGGCTTATTCAAATATTTCAAAAATGTAAATTCAGTTAAAATTTCACTGAATTTAGTAAAACTATTGCGCAAGCACTTCCAGTGTTACATTGCACCCGTGTTGCAAAAATGAACCAGATACGCTCAGGCGTTTTGATTTCTATAAATGACAGCAATAAAGCCAAAGACATACTTTGAATTACATTATATATATATATTAAAAAAAAAATAAAAAAAAAAAAAAAAAAAAAAAAAAATATATATATATATATATATATATATATATATATATATATATATATATATATATATATATATATATATATATATATATATATAGGGAGATAGGTGGGTAGGTAGATAGACAGACAGACAGACAGAGAGACAGACAGACAGACAGACAGGTGGGCAGGCGGATAGGACAGGACAGACGGACAGACAGACAGACAGACAGACAGGCAGACAAG